AGCAAAAAACTTCACAGACATGTTTTGTATAGGTATGGCCCTACAATATATTTTTCCAATATAGCATAATAGGTCCACTTTAAGTACAGTATTTGAGTAAATGTACTTAGTTACATTCCATTACTGTGTATGACTAACTGTTACCATTTTATTTAACATATAGAAAGGGCCTTTCGATTATTCGTGCTCGATTTTTACTGTATTTTTGTGTGGCTGCTCATAGAGTGCCACAGTGACGCATCCTAAATAAGTGTGATATTAAATAGTAAATCAAGAGCATAATCCGCGATTATTTGACTGCAATGAACCAAAAAAACGTGTTACTTCAAAAAATACCTTGTTAAATCAGATGGAGAAAATCTTTATTCTACATTTTTCTTTTAAATCTTGTACATTGTTAGACTTGGCTCTCGTTAAAGGAAACTATCACTTTCCCACAGATCTTCTTCCACTGAATATTTTCCTCTGGCAGGCAGGTCAATAAATTATCCCTTAAAGTAATCCATGTTGAAATATTTACAATCAGTGCCTTCGATCTGTGCCTGCAAAGATTCCTCCAATCTGAGAGACAGGCTGGCTCATTCTGACAATAGAAACCTCCAAACATTGTGTCCTGGTTTTCTTATAAATATAATAATCGAACACCGAGTACTTCACTTGGGAGAATACACTTTAAAAGTAAATTTATAAATGGCAGCAGCACACATGTTGTGCTTAAATGTCCCTGTTAAAGTCATTCAGAGTTCGGCAGCGTCCTTTTTTCCCTATAGAGGGTTTTTCATGTCGCTTTTCTTTTCTAGCACACTCTGAACATTAAACTAAGCCTCTTCAGCGTAATCATCAGACGTCCAGGGGTAACATGATCCCTGTGATGCTCCGACATCAATTTCACATCAGTCAGGTCAGCTACTGTGCAGATATACACTGACTGAAGAATATTTATATCCAGAGCTTATGTGCCCATTACAGTGAATTAATGTGATGTAATAATGCTTATCCTATAATAAACACACCGCCTCCTCTGCAGCACAGGAAGAAGATGTTTCAGAATCAACTACAGAGTACATTAAAATGAAAAATAAAAAAGGTAGCTACTGAGGACATCAAAGTCAAATGGAGATGTGGGTTTTTAGTGACTTTGAGGAGTTAACACTGAACACCAGATTTGATTCCTGGCAGCAGGAGTCATTCTCGATAATTAAGCGGGATCACTTGAAGATTTTAGGGGTGTTCTACAGGAAGGGTCCGAGTGTCACAGTATATGAGTGTTTGTGGATGATAATTGTCTGCCAATGCTAATATCCCAAAGTATCTCTACACACTCCCCCTGGATGTGCTAAGGTGCGGGACATCTCTAATGGCGCATTTCCAATGCAGGGCCTCGCACGGCTTAGTACTGTATAGTTAGGCTTTGGTAGGCCAGGCTCACTTTATGCTGCGTTTCCATTACAGTTTAGTAGCTGGGGCAGTAACTATAGTAACACAGTGTAGGCGGAGCCGTGACGTCATCTTCAATGAGAACCACAGAAAACCAACATCAGCCGTTAGCTGTTAGCACTCAGAGCTCACAGCTCACAGCTCCTCATATCTGTTCAGAAACTAGACAAAAGTTAAACAAGTACAAACCCCAGACTGTCTCTCATGGTGAATACAGTCGCTGGTTTATTCATGTCTGTAAAGGCTGAGTGTGGACGGTCGGAGCATATACTGCATTAGCTTAGCCGATATCCATTCAGACAGCAGTGTTTCCCCTATATACAAATAGTGGCGGTGCAGCGCCGCTGCTGAAATATGAGCGCCACTGCTATAATATATATATATTTTTTTTTAACTTTTTTTTCTTTTTCTTAAAATAATAATAAGTGGTGACCCTTTTTCATTTTTCATTGTTTGTTATGTGGATTTGTAGTATTTGTGTTACTGTATGTTCAATAAAGGTGTATTTTTGCAAAAATCTGGTGACATTGCCACTGTATGTACTAGGCAGGGTCAATTTCTGGCATAGGGCGCCAGATCTGGGGGGCGCTGCGCTGGTAGCTCTGGGAGGGAAAAAACATTTTTGACCGTTGGCGCTCATCCAAATATCCGGCCTTGATGTAACAACATTCATAATGAAGTAAATGTAACACCCTTTTCACCCCGGTTACACGTTTAATTTGCCCTTTGCGCTGTAAGTGATGAAAGTGGGGGATGTTGGCTTATCAGGCGCCCACAGCTCACAGCCAAAGTGCGAGCGTGGTAGCGAGAGAGCGAGCAAGGGAGAGGGCGCACCGGTACCGGCGCTGTTGTTATTAGAATCTGGTGCTAGCTGCGCTAACGGATATAAGAAGTAGATGTTTCTACAACCAGGGTGGAGGAGAGCTCTCCTGTCAGACTGAGAGGCTCAGTGAGGTAAAGGACTCTCTGAGTATTTAGATAGTTAATTTTAGTCTAAGTTATCTCAGTGGGTCTCAAACGTTTTGACCACAAATTATGTAAACACATATTTCCAAGGCACTCCTTTATAATTATTAGGATAAATAAAAACAGGTTTGAAATCATGCCAATATATACTATAGGACAGTAAACCAAAAATATCGTTTAAAGTTGGAGAGATACAAAAATATGCATAAATAAATAAAGGTAAACTGGGTAAAATAAAATATGAATGAACAACAAAAATAAAATAAGCTACATTTATTTGTTATTGGCTATGGTAGGTTGTTGGTTATGTTCACATACTTATTTGATTATTAAAATGTAAACCGATCTTATTCATATGGGCGTTTTAGAGTTGTGCCCCCTAGATCAGGTCTCTAGTAATTGTGTGCTCAAAGTGCACCAGATTGAAGCATTTTACTGTAAAATGGGGACCCCCCTAGAGGATGTGACGTCCACCCCCCAATTCAAACATGTTCATACAATACTTCAGTATTGTATGAACATGTTTGAATTGGGGGGTGGACGTCACATCCTCTAGGGGGGTCCCCATTTTACAGTAAAATGCTTCAATCTGGTGCACTTTGAGCACNCTGTACAACAATCTGTTAAGGGTCCTGTAACACTGTGTTAGAAACAGCGTGGGATCGGATCGTAGAGAAGAAAGAGTGTCTGTACCCTTTCTGCGGGGATACACCACTTTGGGACTACGGCTTCGGACAAAGAGTCTGTTTGTGAAGTTCAAACGGGTAAATATTAAAAAGTGAGGTTTAACTTGTTACAGATGAACACTGCAGGATACATTACAGCATAGAAAACGACGATAGCATTCATAAGGTCGGTTGAATGTCTGTTGGAAAATGTAAAGGCTGATTTCTTCTCACAAGTCAAACCCAGGAATTATTTTGAATTAGGCTTTTTCTATTACACCTGCATCGGTGTGAAACATAGGCCCCACTTCTCGGGAACGTGTGATTAACTAGATGGAATAAAACAAACATGGCAACTTCAAAATTGTTCCCATACTTTTAAAATTAATGCATGGAGAAGTTTACCAGATTTGGTTTCCCAAAGGACATTGAGAAAATGGGACACTGGAATGAAAAGCAGGGCAGTTGTAAAACGGCTTGTATTTTAAATGTAGTATTAAAGATGGGAGGGGTCTGTGATTTTCTAATTCCAATTAGGCTTTTAGTGACATTTACAAGAAACATGACTTAAATTATGAGCGCCCCTTGTTACTGCTTATGAAAGACCACAGACCATTACTGGAAATAAAACGTGGGCAAGACACCCAGGGATAACAAAGAGATGGTTTTACCTGGTCCATCTCTCCTTGGACATCGCCAGCGGCCTTGGTTTGAAGGTTCGTTGCGGGAAGCGGTCCCCTCGGCTGAGCGTTTGACAAGCAGAACCAGATGGGGGGCGGCGTGGCCCTCACCCCCACCGGTTGTGTAGAGAGGCTGAGTGGGAATTACGGAGCTGGTTTTACCCCCATCCCCAAGCTTCATTTCAAACCCATAATGACTTCTACCCTACAAATCAAAACGTAATCAGTCGGAGTTGGAACAGGACGACATGATAAAAGCTACGGGAAAGGTTATTATCTGCCATGTGCAGCCCTGGTAAATCAAAACCCTATTTTTTACCCATCGAGTGGACCAAGGCTCTCTCTGAATTCTTGCGGGTCCCAAAAATGTAAGCCACGAAGGCTCGGTTGGAGGTCTGCAGCGGGCTCCTCGTCTGTTGGGGCCACATTATCTTCACACTGGCCAGGAGGACCATACCTTACCGAACTCTTTGCAGAAGAAAATCTCCTCGTTCATTCTGAAAGAACAGGAAACACATTGTAATGGTGGGTAAAGGTAAATGTATCAATGCTTGGACCAATCAACAGTCAGTGACCGGACTACTTTTACCTCTGGGCTAATGCAGCCGATGTTAGGAGGTTAGTGGGTGTTGCACTGTTAGGTCCATCATTATAATACTGTAGGGAAAAAAGCTGAGTTGGGCATGTTTTTAGGTCATTTTTTTCCCCTTATAAAAAACTCTTTGTATTTTAAGGGGAGAAGGCTCTTCTTAAACCCGATCGTCCAGATAATGGTTATTATCCAGGATTTCCCCCACATCCCCTCCTTCCTCCCCCATCAGGGTCATTGGTCTTCTTTATTGGTCCTCTCCTCTACGCGCCTTCTTGAATTCTGGCCATTCTTTCAAATAAGGTTTAGGTATGCCGCAGGAATATTGTATCCACACCTTATCGGAAAACCTTTGGAAAAAGACTTACAGTTTTAAGCCTCTCTCTTTGAGAGTTCAAGGATTCTCTTCTTCTTTTCCTCTGACTTTCTTTTTTGTGTCTGTTAATTTCAAAAAAAGGGAAGGCCACCTGTGGGATTTACATATCCAACAACTGAACTGGCTTCAAAGTTTTGAGGTGTTGGAGGATAATGTAAAAAGTACAGTTTACATCCCGTTATTTAATTCAGTAAATGATTCAAAATGCAAAACAACTTAACAGCTTTTTTTGGCTGCTCAGCGGATGATACATTGCTGGGGAAAGGGGACAAAATTCGAAGCCTGTTCGATAAAAGCTTCACTTTTCTTGCCTGCGGTTGCCCTTCTCCTCTGCGAAAACATAAAACCAAAGCAATCTGCTTGAAGCATGGGGACTCTTTCCCAACAAGTGTGCAAGACTTATAATTTCATTCAATTGTGTTTGGTCAGCAGCGGATATCAGAGAAGGGCTTTTCCTGTATGTCAATTAGGACAGATTGGGACTTGAATACCTTGAAACTAAGTGATTGAGGACGCCATAAACTCGCAAGGTTTCTACTGAAGCTAATCAAGTTAGAGTGTTCTGGGTCCATTTTTTGGTAAACTTACTAACAGTCAGACATCTTTTTAAAGGTCCCATGTCATGCTTTTCCGGTTATTACCCGTCCCCTTGTGTGTTATGAAGGTTTTTCTGCATGTAAACGGTCTGCAGAGTTAAAAACCCTCAAAGTACACCCTGTAGTGAGTAAATCTAACACACAAGACCTGTCTGTGCTGCCCCAGAACGCCTCGTTGGAGATTTCTCTTTTTCCATTGTTTGCTTCCTGGGTACACTGACGTTCCCAAATGGACCAATCCATGGAGCCGTTACGTTAAGTCCTTCCTCACACACTCCGATCTTTACTCAGCTGCAGCTCCGCCGATTTCTCCTCCCTGAGACGGCGGGACGTAGCGAGGCTGTGAGTCTGTGTCTGAGCACACACACAAACTCCCAGCCAGGCTGCGGGTGTATGTGTGTGAGCTCGGGCTGGTTTCGGGCTGGGTTTCGGGCTGGGTTTCGCTGTGTCTCGCAGACGGCCACTGGGCTCACAGGGAGGGGGGCGTCAGGAGCGCCAACAAGCCGTTGTAGGAACAGAGAGTGAATACAACAAGCCGTTTAGGACAGAGAGTGAATACACATACTATACAGAGATGCTGTATGAGAAACCAATGTGAGTTTGGAACATTGCACAATATAAATCTATTCTAGTAGACCTCAACAATGGAATTATGATCAGTAGAAATGGCCAGGACATGGGACCTTTAAACTAAACGTGATAGTGGACTACTGACTACAGTTCCCCAAAGTAAATACATTTATTTAACCTTTCAAAAAAAGATATGGGCCCTGAAAAAGTCAGCATGATATTCTTTAATTGCTACTTTCAGGTATCTTAATGCTAGATCGAATAGTCAGGAACTCCTACTGTGTGCTAACCTTTAGTTGCATTCACGATTCCTCCATGGACAAACGTTTTCCCTCCACCTTTCTTGTTGCTTTCAAACGAAGCCAAGAATTCTTCAAAAACCTCTGCTGCTTTTTCTTCCTCCTGGAAACGTTACATACAAAAAAACATCATTTCCGTCCAATGGTTCATAATTTATCAAATTAAGTATGAAATAATCGTTGAATACAATGCCTTTTCACAGGCAATATGTGTATCCTCAAAATACGAAATAGGGCTAATTAGTTCAACAATTTATCCAAATTTGATTAATATGCAACATAATGTGGACAAGTGCAATATTTCAGACACAGGAGGCGCATTATACATTGTCCTGGCCGGCAATTTGTATTGTACGGATGACATTATTCCTTGCTTGGTAAAATGTTCACAAAGAAATCAAACCATGTTCATTTTGATTTATTTTCCAATGAAAAAAGGATGATTCCCTCTTATTATATCGCAACTGCAATCCTATCACATTTGCAATATCCAAATAATCGCAATTTTTTGAATTTTTTCCCAGATCGTTTAGCCCTGCTACGAAATGCTGTTCTCTAAATTCACAAAGCTCTATGCCTAAATCAGATCCAAAATCACAAGATCCCGATTTACCTTTTTCTTGAGCTCCTTTTGGTCTTTCTTTGAGAGTGTTTTGATCGGAGTGACAGGTTTTCCCTTTCTATCAGCCATGCTTGACCTGGAAAAAATAACAATATGAAGAACAAATGAATACAATCATTAAGTAATTCATTGATAAGATTTCAAAAATGACTAACAACTGCTGACAAACTTACAAATCTCAATTAGATCTCTGACAAAATCCCCTTACCTATTTGTATTAAGAGCCTGGCTTTTGGTAGTTAAAAGTAGGGCTTTAATTCATTCAAATGACTCTAATCCTGTTATCTTTATCCTTGTCTCAAAGATGAAGGACATCCTCTATGATTATGTGCACAAACTGTTCATCACTTTCAGGGTCAGTGGAGAGTCCGGCAGTGGCTCAGCCATTAGGGAATTGGCCTGGGAGCTGTAGGGTCGCCGGTTCAAGTCCCCGACCAGACCTACAAATGGAGTGTGGACTGCTACTTGGAGAGGTCCCAGTTCACCTCCTGCCCTGCCGTGCTGCCCTTGAACAAGGCACCGGATATCCCCCTTCCCCCCTCACTCCCATTGCTCCCTGGGCGCTGTACCAATAGCTGCCCACTGCTCCTAGTAGTACTAGGATGGGTTAAAAGCTGAGAACACATGTCACTGTGTGTGCTCTGCACGTGTGACCATTAAAGAGGGTTTCATCCCTCCCAATATTATAAAACAGCACAAAGTGTGTTTTGTTTACTTATGTGTATCATGATGTATTTATGGTCAGATAAAAGATACAAGTCATGTGTAAGGAAAATAAGCAAGAGGAGTTACCAAAACTACAACTTTACACATTTGAACACAAAGCTATATCTAGCAGTATGCAGACCCCATGCACACTGCAAGCTGTATAACATATCACAACACTTTCACAACAAGTGAGCTGCAAGCAAGCACATTGAATTCAGTATATACATACAGCTACCTGGTTCAACGTGATAACACCATTCAACAAATGCTCGAGATGTCCTCTCATTCAAAGGTAAAGCACACGTTGTTTTTGGTCGGTTTTTAGCACAAACGGTGTTTAAAAGGCCTGGACTGATTATGAGCTATCACTTTGCTAACGTTAGCTACACCACTGTTTAGCTTAGCTCACTGTCTCTGGACTCAAGTGACATGATAACCCACCGTTAACCTTTGCATGCTGAATACAGGTTATGCATCTTCGTCGAGAATTATCCTGATAATATCACGACCCATAAAGATGCAGAAATCTTTATCTTAACATCTGCTAACTGTGGATGTCATGCAGCTTCTCTGAGCTAACGCTTGCTAACATAACAGTCTAATATTGTCTTCTGTTACGCCACAAAGCACCGACTCTCCGTACACATTGCATGCACATAGCTTAATATAGCGTAGCTAAAACAGTAACTTACAATGTGTGTCATGCTATTGCTTCACCATTTTTGGCTTGCGACGACTATTTCTATCACAACATGAAGCAGTGGAGAGACATCCGGCAGGAGCTGAGTGAGGAGGACGCTGCTCGGTACTGCACGGTAATAATAAATTGAGTCTGTCTGCTACATATTCATGACCAGGACTTTCTCTCATTATCATACACTACTGTAGTCAAAACAGGTGGAAGAAGTATTCAGATCTTGGACTTAAGTCAAAGTAGAAGTACCAGATTGTAGAAATACTCTGTTACAAGTAAGCGTCCTGCATTGCAAATTCTACTCAAGTAAAAGTTGAAAAGTATTAGCATCAAAATATACATTAAGTACCAAAAGTAAAAGTACTCATTATGCAAATTAGCCAATTTTAGAATAATATATTATATATTTTGATTATAATTATTAATGCATAATGCATCAAAGCTTAAGATGTAGGGGAGAGTGGGGTAAGTTGAGCCATTTTTTTGTTATGCTGTCCTCTATAGTCCAGCAGCAAGTCCTCAAAAAAGGCTTTAGTTTGCGAGATACCCCTACCTACCCCGAGGGAGAACAAATGACAACAATGATTTTTCCTTATAGTTAGGTCTCCCATTAAATGAAATTGATTTGGGTTTTTGTCATTTTATTGGGGAAAAAAGGTTTTTTGGGTTGTTCTTTAGAACTACCAATCCCTGAAAAAGAGCCAAATTAGAACCAGACGAATGGGAAAAGGGTGACTAAAAAGCCCATACTTGAGATGACCTATCTTATACCTCTTAGATATGCTTGAGGTATGAACCAGGGAGGCCTGTCCTACACACCCAATAGTCAGAAAATTATTTTAACTAAAAATATCTGAATTATAGTCCTGTAAACTTAGCTTAGTTTAGACCGGAAATTGTACTTTTGGTGATAGGAAAACATAGGACTCAATCCTTTCCTCCTCTTTATCAGAAAAAACAGAAAATCCCTAAAAAATATACCATTACTGATTGTCTAAGGTGGCTATTGAAAACGAAAACCAGTAGTTTATTGCGAAATATCTTGTAGCAGTCTATTGCAAATGAGATTTCTTTAAGACATAGGCCTACCTCTTCTCTGATACAAATCAACATTCCGATGGGATAAGTGGGCAAAAACCCCGAGTAAGTTAAAGCATTTAGCCTTCCGTTACTTCGTCCAAAAAAGCAATGCATTTTTTCCATAGGGTTTGGAAAAAAATAGCTCGAATAAGTCTGTGTTGACACAAATTTAAGAGATAATATCACGTTTGTTCTACCGGACATTAAATACATCAGCAGTGACCCCACTGGTGATTTTTGAAAGTTACGTGTCTGAAAAACGATGGTTGTTCCCGAGTGGTGAATAGACTAACAGAAATTGTAGGCCGTTGTACGTCATTAGCCTAACACCGACCGTAAACTTCCAGCTAAACTTTGTTTTCCCCTGTGTTCCTGCTTTGAAAGCAGTACACTGCCTATCTTTTAAGTTTATCTGTATACTCTAAATATCTGACCATTAGAAATCTTGTATTTTTGAAATGTCCGTTTTTAGCACCGGTAGTTTTACAAATTATAAAGAATAATTAATTACCCAGTGTTTCCAATTTTTACTCGGCAGTCCTCGTTCCATTAGCTAACGTTAGCTAAAGCATAGCGCTACTAGTTAGCTACGCAATGGTTGTTCTTTGGTCCGGGTTGCGCCACAGGTCTCACATGAAACTTGCCTTGTTCTATCGTTTCCCGCCAATGTTTTCAAAGGAGAGTCTGGATTCGTAACCATGATTTAAGCCTGACTTACATTTTTGTCCATGTCCCGGAATGAAATGTAAATGATGGGTATGAACTATCCGCCGTTTTAGAGAAATGGCGCTGCCTGAAAAAGACACGCAACATAAGTAAAGATAATGACATACATCCCTATTAAAACCTTTGTGGCTTATATGATAAGTCTAAAATTAAGTACAAGCAACATAACGTTTCACCTGTAAACTAAAGATTGTAGTCAGGGAAATCAAGTTGACATATTGAACTAATACAAAATCACCTCTCTGGGCTGGCAGAGAACTCTCTGCTCCAATAGCTTCTCTTGGAAACCGTAAAATCACATGTAGCATTTTAGCATTTAGCATTCCATTAAATACTGCCCATGCCCTCCACCATAACTTTTGTATATAGTACCGCCCGCCATAAACCTTATATTGTTGTTTTTCTTGTATCGGGCTGCTGCAAGCAGCACAACATTTCCAAAAGATTGGGATCCAATCACAGTCAACATCTTCTATCTTAATTCATTAAGAAACTATACGACTATTATGATCATCCTAGTAGTAGCCAGCTGACGACACCTTACTTTTTTCATATGGATTCATCCTAGCCCATTTACCTTTCTTAGTTCAATTTTGATCTAAAACGAATTGTCAAAAATCAGTGAAAAATGTTCACGAGAGCTTATCCAAGTGGCAAGGTTAGTACTCCTTTAAAAGACCTGTTTTGTTTAGCCTCTGTACTTGTATGCCCTTAATCGCTCTAATATGTTGAAGCGGTGATGACTCGTCAGAAAACTAATATTCTTATATCTTGCCAAACCAGTGTTTGCGCCCTATGGATGGAGTCATAGCAGCGTGGTGACCGCGCAGCATACAGTGAGCGCAGGAGCGCTGAAATTATTCTTAATTAGTTGTGCACCGTGCGAAGTGCGTCCCGCGCAATTGTTTTGCTATGTGTCCAGGCACCAAATAGACTGGTCAGCACAAGAAAAGGCCTTCTGAGGCCTAGTACCGGGCAGGCCCGTTTCCTAGACCACATTTGCTGCCTAAGGCTGAATTTTAGCGGCAAAAAAAGATGCATTCTTATGTGTAAGACAAATTGATGAAGAAATCTCCTACAAAAGACAAATACACTGCAAAACAGAAAGCTTACTTGAACAATAGGTAATGGACGTCAAAATGGCTTCAAATGTATTCAGTATTGTCATAAGCAAGCCTGTTGAATTGACCGGGGTGGACAGTCACATCCTCCTAAGGGGTCGCGGCGTATGTCCTCCCGGGACCAGTAATATTATTTTTTTTTGAAACAATTACAAGTAAAAATGTTTCATCTGTGGCTGGCACTTTGAGGCACAAAATTACTAGAGACGCGCGTGATCTAGGGGGAGTCAAAACAACCTTTTAAACACGGGCCCATATAGAAAAAAGATGCCGGTTAACCACTTTTAAGTTAATAAAATGCAAAATATGTGAACATAAGCCAGTAAACCTACATAAAGCATAAGCAAATATAATGGCTAGGCTTATTTTAAGATTTTGTTGGTTCATTCATATTGCTTATTTACCTAATTACTGATCATGTATCTGTATGGTTAGCATACTATTTTTTGTACGCTCTCCAACTTTAAACAATATATGTCTTGGTTAAAAACTGTCGCTAGTAAGTCATCACCCATTTACGGAAGTTTGCCAAACCTGTTTTTATTAATCCTAATAAACTTATACAACCGGGAGTACGCTTGAATAATGTGTTTAAATAATTGTGTCAAAGACCGTTTGAAGAAACCGCCACTGAGATAACTTAGAACCTAAAATTAACTATGCTAAAATAACTCAGAGAGTCGCCTTTACCCTGCAGCTGAGCCCCTTCCAGTCTGAGCAGGCAGAGGCTGCTTCCTCCACCTCCTGGTTGTAAAAAACATCCTCCTTCTTATAATGCCGTGGTACCCGCAGGCTAGCACGCAGATTCTAATAACGAAACATGCCGCGCGGTACGCCTCGGTCGTGCCCTCGCTCGCACGTCCGCTGCTCAATCCGCCGTCCCACTCCGCACTTTGCTGTGAGCTGTGTCGCCTGATAAGGCCAAATCATCCCCCCACTTTCCATGCACTTACAGCTGCCGCATGTCCATATGTGCAGGGCAAATGAAAAGTGTACGGCGGGTTAAAAGGGGTGTTACATTACTTAATTATGAATGTTGTTAACATCAAGCCGAACATTTGGATGAGTAGCCAACGTCCAAAAATGTTTTATATCCCTGCCCAGAGCTACCAAGCGGGGCCGCCCCCAGATCTGGCGCCCCATACTGCCCAGAAATATGAACCCTGCTAGTACACTCACAGTGGTCGCCTCACAGATATTTTGAACAAAACCCTACCCCTTATTCGAAATACAGACACAATACTCACAACCATCCACACATAACAACAATGAAAATGAAAAAGGGTCACCACTTATTATTACGTGTTTAAGAGAAAGAAACAAAAAAGCTTAAAAAATATAATATACGCTATACAATAACGGTCAGCTCTTTTTAACCTTTTTTTTTCTTTTTCTTCAAAATAACTAATAAGGTGGTGACCCTTTTTCATTTTTCATTGTTTGTTATCGCTGGACTTTTGTGTATTCTGCTGGTTACTGTATGTTCAATAAAGGTGTATTTTTGCAAAAATCTGGTGACATTGCCACTGTATGTACTAGGCAGGGTCAATTTCTGGCATAGGGCGCCAGATCTGGGGGGCGCTGCGCTGGTAGCTCTGGGAGGGAAAAAACATTTTTGACCGTTGGCGCTCATCCAAATATCCGGCCTTGATGTAACAACATTCATAATGAAGTAAATGTAACACCCTTTTCACCCCGGTTACACGTTTAATTTGCCCTTTGCGCTGTAAGTGATGAAAGTGGGGGATGTTGGCTTATCAGGCGCCCACAGCTCACAGCCAAAGTGCGAGCGTGGTAGCGAGAGAGCGAGCAAGGGAGAGGGCGCACCGGTACCGGCGCTGTTGTTATTAGAATCTGGTGCTAGCTGCGCTAACGGATATAAGAAGTAGATGTTTCTACAACCAGGGTGGAGGAGAGCTCTCCTGTCAGACTGAGAGGCTCAGTGAGGTAAAGGACTCTCTGAGTATTTAGATAGTTAATTTTAGTCTAAGTTATCTCAGTGGGTCTCAAACGTTTTGACCACAAATTATGTAAACACATATTTCCAAGGCACTCCTTTATAATTATTAGGATAAATAAAAACAGGTTTGAAATCATGCCAATATATACTATAGGACAGTAAACCAAAAATATCGTTTAAAGTTGGAGAGATACAAAAATATGCATAAATAAATAAAGGTAA